ATTAAGGTAATGAGGTGGGTCCAGAAAACGAACCGGCGGCCAACGTAACGCTTTGGGAAGGCAATTCCACGCGTTTTCGGCAACAACTCCCGTTAAAACCGATCTGAGGAGCCGAGCGCTCGCCCCGGGAGGAGAAGGGCAAGGGCGCGGTCTGGCTTCATCGCCTGGCAGAAATCGGGTCTGGATGCGCAGGAAAAAAATATCTGAGTATGCGGGAGGCTAATGGAGAGTCGGGTCGTTACGGCTTTGATCCTGTTACACTAATTGTTTCCAACCCGTTTGAGAATATTAGCTAGAAACGTGAGAATACTGACTGGTGTGTCCTCTAGCCTGCTCCTTCTGGGCGAACAAACGCATTATGCAACAGAAAATAAAATTGTCTCTTATTTAGGATGTAGCAGTCCCACAGTCCGTTAACTCCGCGGAAATGCAGGGAAGAGGGAAAAGTTTTTCAGGGAAAACGATTTCCCTCCGCCTGACAAGCGCCCATCGGTCTCTTACAGCCCTCTTCCAGAAAAACGGCTTTTGGAAATAGTATTTGAAAACTGATTATTCACAGCGCCGAAGGAAAAAAACTAACCAAGCATTTGCACGCTGGAGCGCTCCAGTTTGGGTTTAAAGTCGCCAGTTTAACTCTTATTTATGTTAGGAACTCCTCAAAGACATTTGTGTTGGGGCACACCGCATCGTTCCCGTCTCTGCAGGGAAATACTGCAAAAATCACAGCAAAAATCCACGCTGTGCAGGCGCAGAAATGCGGAGGCGTAAAAAAATCAGGCTCGGGAGAAATTAAGAGGCTTACCGGGTTGTAAAGAGAGCTAGATTTTTTTTTTTTTTTAATTTAGAAAAGACCTTCTGCAAAAAAACCCTTTTGAACCCGTTTTGCAGGCTGCGATGCGGTACCGAGGAGAGGAGCTGGTGGATGGGCTGTGATGGGGAATGAGAGAACAGCAACTGCAATGGTTATTGTACAGATGCTAAAATATTAGGGCTTCCCGGGAGTTTTTTGCTAGTCTTAATGTAATTGGTATTTTCCTTCGGGGTCAAGTTCCTGGACCGATATAAATATAACAAAATTTCCATTTCCACTAATAATAAAACTGTATTTCTGAAGAAAAGCTGAAAAATAGAAATCCTAAAGCCCCCAAAACAGAAGGCAAATTAAAAGAAAGCATGAACAGTATGCTGAAGAAAGAATTGGCCATAAACTTGGGACTTTTAAGCCTAATAGAAATGGCAGAAAGAATCTGCTCTTTGAGCTGCTCCGTCCTCCCCGCTGTGATCCCCGTTCCCAAACTTGTGCTGGAAGTTGCGTGATATTATCGCTTAGGGTGCCTCGAAGCAAATACTAACACTCGTTTGCTCTGCTACAGCCAGCTGCACAGGGGCTCATTCGCTGCCTCGCACTCACAAATATCGGCTCAATCACATCATTTTACATGACCGAAAGCCCCTGAGTCCTGGGAGGACGTCAGGGGACGTGTACATCGGGGAGGCCCGGCTCCCTGCCCTGCGTCCACTCCTGCTGATGTCAGTACTGAAACAGCCGCTGACATCAGCGAGGAAGGGTGAGACGTTCAAGCCGTAAAACCTTCCCGGATTATTGCGAAGAGGTGCTGCCTGCGCGTTACCCAAGCTGTGAGATACTCTGCTTGCTGGGCGTTTGCAAAATTAACTTGCGCCACGTCCAAAATCTGTGTGTTTTTTTAAGGTTTGATATACTAGCAGATGTGGCTTGGTTATACAGTGGATTCTGTGTTGCTGATTGCATGTAAAGTCTGACCAGATCACATCCTGACAGTACAGCACTTGGAATTAAATGTAAACAGAGAAAGACAGAGCAAAAATGGACTCACGTTCCCTTCCTTCCTTTTCCAGTGACTTTGGTAAGAAATGAAAATAAGGGAGGGGGGGGGGAGAAAACCTCTAGAAGAATGTGGTAACGAACGTGCAGCAGAGACATACAGCTCTTAAATGGCGTTAGATGAAGCCAGCATCTGTTTAGCACCAGGGACGGCCGCTCCAGAGCACCATTCCCACGCCAGAGCAGCCGTCGCCTCTCAGTTTTTGCTCTTCGTGTTGCTCTGGAGGAGCGGCGAGCCGGTGCTGAACAGTGATGTTATAGACCAGCGGCTTTGGCAGGGGTCCACCGGGGGGAGCAAAACCGGGG